CCAGCAGCCACCCCGCCACACCATCAGCCACCCCGCCACACCAAATCAATAAGTCATGTGGTTCTAACTTTGGAAATACTGAAGTCATTATCATCACCACTGGGCAGGTCACCACGAGGCCACCCAAGTGTAAACAAACGGTGACAAAATCCACACTGGAACTCCCATCAATATTCATGTATGCTGAGAGATAAAGATCTCTCTCTCTCTCTCTCTCTCTCTCTCTCTCTCTTGGGAGCTCGTCAGTCATCCGCGTCACCAGTACACGAGTCAACAACAGTCAGTTCCTCGTAAATAAAACTGACAATAATGAGGTTACTTTGTTAACAAGAAGGTAATTTAACTTCCGTAATCTTGGTTGTTTTTTTATTCTAGCGGCTGCTGTTGTGTGCGGTATATAGATATTACACACACACACACACACACACACATACTTTCAGCATTCATAGGGTGGATGTGTGTGGCGCTGCTGCTAACGCGCCGTGGTCTTGATCATGGAGACAGCTGCCAGCCCGGTCTGTCGGGCCTTCCCATCTGGATTTATCAACATCCTCACACCAACAGTACAGTGCAAATATTGACGATCAACCCACAAGTGATATACAAAGTGGCAATTTCAACTCAAAGGAAAAGCACAAAACACAGCAATACTGATTGTGGCTGATCTGACCTAACCTGACCTGACCTCATGGCTTCACCTGACCTAACCTGAAGGATGGAGCACACCTGCATTGCCCTGCTACTGTCCTGGCCCGTGGCCACACACCCTGCCCAACCGCATCCAGCCCATACGAGCACGAACTGATTGCCAAGAACAGCCCAGTCCCAACCATTGTAAAAATTATCAACACCTAATTATTATATATCATTTGTATTTATGTTACTTGTACATCATTTGTAAATCAAGAGAACCATTCCCCGATTATGTAATTGTATATTTTCAGCCTTCCGGCTGCCATGCTCTTCAATAAACCGTTAATTATTATTATATATTACACACACACACACACACACACACAGAGATAGTAATTTTCCTTCAGCCTTCATTATCCAACAAAAGACATTATATTAATCAAATGACTTTCTCACACGACCATATATAACATTAAAGATAAATTTACCTCGAACTTATAAAACGATAGGAATCAGTTCAACCATTATATCCAATTACCCCATGAAATAATTACTATAGGAAAACACCAAAGTATTTCATAACAAAAGTGTAATATAACTCCTGTGAAAACTCCTTTCTATTGTATTAATCTAAAGTTTATGAACACGTGAATACATTACTGTGTGTAGGTGGTGTTGTAGTTGATGTTTGAACTGGGTGTATTATTGTAGTGTGAATTATATGTACTGGGTGTGTATAAGACCAGGTACTGTACTTGACTCAGAGTATACACAACACTCGCTTTGTGGTGGTGACAATGGTGGCAGTAGTGGTAGTGTGGTGGAAATGCTCGGAGTAGAGATGGTGGTAAGGGTGGTGGTAGTGATGGTGGTAGTGGTGGTGGGACAGGTCATAGTGGTGGTGGGTGGGTGGTCTAAATGGTACAACAGTGTGGCCAGGATAATGCAGGAGGCTGGCCATGACCAACACTGGCCACAGATGGTTGGTGTCGACCGGCCAGGTGTTCATAAGACCAGGTGTGACCCACCTAGTGTCACGTTAATAACAGGTGGAAGAAGATCCTACCCTCCCTCCCTCCCTCATCACCACCACTCCTCTACACCCTCCCTCATCACCACCACTCCTCTACACCCTCCCTCATCACCACCACTCCTCTACACCCTCCCCTCATCCACCACCACTCCTCCTACACCTCCCTCATCACCCCCTCCTCCTACACCCTCCCTCATCATCACCCTCCTCCTACACCCTCCCTCATCACCACCACTCCTCTACACCCTCCCTCATCACCACCACTCCTCTACACCCTCCCTCATCACCACCACTCCTCTACACCCTCCCTCATCACCACCACTCCTCTACACCCTCCCTCCCTCATCACCACTACACCTCCCTCTCTCACTAATAAGGACACAGACAAGATGTACCTCAAAACAACAACAGCAGAGAATTAAGATATATCACCGTGGCTCATCAGGTATACACAATAGATGACCATAATAACTTCCTCAACACACAAACGACACGGAAAGATTATCACTTGTTATCACACAGACGAACGGACGGAAAAATGATGACACATACGATAATACCAAAAAAAGACAAAGTTCCTGAATTACGACGCATTAATATTTATACATCTTAGGTGTATAATTACTTACACTAATTATAACTCAACGCGATCATGGCCAAATATACGTATATGCCAGTACACTCCCATGAGGAAATCTTGGAAAGGCGCATCAAAAACAAGGTTACTGTCATATATGGTGAGGAGGCGAATATATCCTTCAGCCCCATGTAAACACGAGCTTAACACCATCACAAGACTGTTATTTAATGGTAAAAGACATCATCACTCACCTCCTGCACACTCACCCCCGCCCCCCTCTGGCCACTAAAGACGTCATAAATGTCCATAAGAAGAAGTAAGTGGGTAGGACAACAGCGTGTGAGTGACAACCTCCTCAAAATATTTCTCAGTGTACAAGGAAGGAAAGTATGCTGGAGGACTAGAGGATGATGGTGTGACCAGTCTGTCCTTCACCACACCACCACTACAAGACACCACACTATATCACCACAACCCCCTAACTACACCACACTACCACCTTCTCATACCAGACTACACCATCACCCTCACACCACGACTCCTCACCTCGACCACACCACCACCCTCACCCTACCACCCCTCACCACACCACACTGCAGTACATCACCCCTACACCTATACCTCAGTAGTCGCGCCTGCATTAAACAAAACCAAGCGAAGACTTTCAGACACAACACTGATCATTACACTATACCTGAGGCTCAGAGACAGAAGGTCACTGTAACAATCAGTCACCGTCTTACCAGGCCAGACTCAACAAGGCCCGGCTTTCCCCATGACCCGACACGACCAAGAGTGTCCCCCCGCCCAACGACAGAGCCACACAAATGACCATAACAGTAGTCTGGCGCCGAAGGAGGTGCGTGGCGACTCATAAAATAGCCCAAAACTCCCATCTTCTCCAGGCCTGGGCTATACTCAAGGCTAATTTGGTCAACGGAGGCGTGACACACACACACGAGCATACTCTCACGACCACAACAAACAAGATTGTCACGCCCACGCACTGTACACCAACCAACACTTTATACAATCTGTCGACACAAAACAAAACCTTCATCTCATCTCTTTTGTTTCTTATTCTTAATTAAATGTTTGTACTGATAATCTCTACAACTTCTCCAAAGACACAGATGTTTAGGTGTTAGAGAAGACCCACAACATAAATAAATGTCGTCAATTAATCGCGTTATAGAGTTTATTACACCTGATGATTAAACACACTAAAGCTATAGCTGGGGGGGGTTAGGTTAGCTGTGGGAGGGTTAGGTTAGCTGTGGAGGCTAATCTTCAGGTGATGTGTTAGGTCTTGTTATTAACGATTCCTGAATACAGAGGAAGTAATGAAGTTTGTCTACTGAGAGAAGATGATCTTGAACACCCACAACAACATGACTCTTCAGGGCGGCCAGTAACTGTTGGCATTAGTAGTAGCAGAACTCTTACCTGTTAGTGATGAAATATAATGAAAAAAAGGGTGAGAGAGAGAGAGAATAAAGCTAGCTCTACGCCCGCTGTGACCCCTACTCCCACACCCACCAGTAATACCTGTCACACTGCTGCTGTCACCACACCTGCCTCGAGGGATCAAGTGACACACCCTCTTCCCTTCCTCTTTACCTGTGTGTGTGTGTGTCACGGTGTCATGCTTTCCCCTCCCTCCCCCATCACCCCCCATCCCTCCACTCACAGTACCCAGGAAAGATACACCCCCATCCACACACTACACACCCCATCCACACACTACACCCCCATCCACACACTACACCCCATCCACACACTATATTAAGCCTTTAAGATCAAGAACCGCCGCCTTATTTACATTACTCACCTGACTGACTGACCCACAGGTGAGTTAGTAATTACGATCACTCCCGAGGCCACATTACCTCCTCACCTTTGCCTGGGCTTGGAGTGTGGCTTAATGGCTGCTAGTGGGCGCGTTTTAAACCCTGTATATACTGCAGGGTTAGTGTTGGGGCCCATTGAGTGAGATGTTTTAGCCCCTTGAGTACGTTGTCAACACCCCCCGAGTACAATGAATGAGTCCACTGAGATATCTTAATCTCTTGAGTACGTTGTCAACACTTAATACGGTAAATGGGCCATCGAGTAAGTCATTTTAGCAGCTTGAGTACGATGAATGAAGTCCATTAAGTAAGATAATTTAACCTCCTGAGTACAATAACAACACCCTGAGTACCAAATAAAGAATGAAGCATTGAGTAAGATATCCTAACCTTTCAGAGTGCGAAATTTTAACACCTTGAGTACAATGACTAAAGCCCTCGAGTACGGTATTAAGTCATTGTCCTCAAGGGGTTAAGTCATCGTCCTCAAGGGCTTAAGTCATCGTCCTCAAGGGGTTGTCATCGTCCTCAAGGGGTTAAGTCATCGTCCTCAAGGGGTTAAGTCATCGTCCTCAAGGGGTTAAGTCATCGTCCTCAAGGGGTTAAGTCATCGTCCTCAAGGGGTTAAGTCATCGTCCTCAAGGGGCTCAATAAACAAAGGTGTGAGTTTCATTGTTTATATTGTAACCATAACCCGTAGCGCCAGACACGAGAGAGCCAAGGTGTATGAACATGACCAACACAGATGATGGTCAGTGTAGTGTTTACTGATCCTCAGGAAGAGTGTGTTTACGGGGCTTCATAACCAAGCGCTCTGTGTGTATTCCACCACTGTCTGCACACACACACACACTTAGTCTTTCCATGATAAAGTCTTCACAGTTCTGCCTACTACAAGTCTACATCACACGTCATGGTAGTACAGTGAGGCATCGATGTTCTGGCGTGTAGCTTCCTGAAGGGACGCCTCAACATAAACATGAAGGGAGGGGGCAGTGCTGTACTCACCATAGACAGTTTTACTCCTGCGAGACACGAGGGCGTCACTGCCGGAGGAGGCGGTGATGACGGGCAGGTTGGCGGTTGTGGTAGGGGTTGCTGACGATATCACCACAGGGGTGCCTGCTGCCACGCCCACGCCCACCACGCCCGCACTTGTGCCACCCACTGAAGGCAGCGCCGTTGGAATCGTCACTGTAGGATGAGGGAGACAGAGTAAGATTGTTGTATAAGAGATGATCCTTTAACACTACACAACACCGTGGCCAGTGTTCCTACCGAGCTGCCCACCCTGCACCACACAACATGTCCGTGTCAGCTGTAAGGTAATGCAGTACTGTAGTGATACAACATTCCTTGTATTCTGGGACAAACATGTTTGTGTGGTGGCTCGTGACAACCAACCTGTAGTGCCACACACCTGGCCTCCACCACCACCGGGTCTACTACAGCTAGGACGCTCCCCTACCTGTGTCAGGCGAACCACCGTCGCTACACACACACGGCAGGGGAGGGAGGCTGAAGGGACCAGATGGGGGCGGCGGCTCAGATAACACTGACCTACTCTAACATAATGTATTAGTAAGGCGCTAAGCTTAAAGCATGACTCAACTAGTGATCTAACTTTATAAAGCATTAATCAAGGAATACTGTACTAACAATCTCTTCCCATAAGCTCAGGCAACAGGTAACATGACAGGGATGCAGCCAACTGTATTCATGCAGAACCAAAAATAATGTTGTCAACGTAAGCTTAAGGTAAGGGTGAGCCAGACAAGAAGTGGGCAACCTCGCACCTGCTGGTAACTGGTACATGCTATTGGTCAGGCTGCTGAGTGGCGAACAATAAGGTGCTTTCTGAGCCCTGTTGATAACAAGGGGGAGGAGGGACTCATGCGATCTCTCCTCCAATCCCTTGCCAGCTCCGATGGGAGATCGCTTGTCATTGGATGAGAGAGCGGGACGAGCATGATTCTTGATTGGTAGGAAGGTTGGGCGTTTTAGGCGAGGGGCGTGGGAGGTGGCCGCGGGTGAGGGGTAGGAAGGAGTGTCGCTGGTGCCTGGCGACTCATTATTCTCACCGTGTTTCTTGGCTAACTCTCCGTCTAATGGGGAATAAAAACATCACACATGAGGCATCTAGTCTGGGCAGCTATCTGGTACCTCAAACTAGAACCCAAACCTCCTAAAAGGTTTATTGTATTTATTATTAATTAAAATATTACATGCTAAATTAAAGTAAACAAAACGAACTAATTTTTTATACATCCCAATAAGTTTGTTGTCTTAATAAACTTAAGTAAATCGATATTCCATTACGTCTTCCTTAAGGTAAAGTCAAACAGGTCTTTATAAGGGCTACAGGTAATCTTTTATACAGGTATTTTGAAGAACATGATGATACAGACAGGTGAGTCAGGACACCTACCCAGGGATATGTTCAACAGAGACAACATGATGAGGGTGGGCTGGTGGTGGGTGGTGGTCATGGTAGGTCAGCTGCACCGCCCACCAAACCTTTCTGCCGCCCACACATACAACCCACAACACCACCACTGAGAGGCCTGTCTTTTCCCTCCAGTACTACCACCACATTGTCCTAACTCGCCACCGTTGTCCTCACTCGCCACCGTTGTCCTCACTCGCCACCGTTGTCCTCACTCGCCACCGCTGACACAGGTGTTATTCTGTCTTTTGTTTACTTATTCCTCCTCACCGCCGACACCCACACACTACACCACAGTCGCTACACCAGGGTAGTGTATGAGCGTGCAGGTGTGTGAGAGTGTGGGGTGGTGATCATAGTCTCTCACAATCCCCCGCCGGATACAGTTCCACCGTCACTATCACCCCACACTTCCTGCCGCCTCTCGCACTATTTTCTAATACACTTTTATCACTTTCCTAAATCACAACAACAACACGACGTTACAACTTAGTGATCTTTTATCTCATTTACATAAATTATACACAAAAAAACTGGCGTTATTTTGATTATATTTCACGAGTTATAAAGAAACGGATGGTGGTGGTGAGGGGGGAGAGGGACTTCCTTCCTTTGTAAAATATTGTTCATGTATTGGTGGTGTAAAGCTGGTCTAATGCTTATTTTTCCTATGTTCCCCATACAAATATAAATGTGTGTGTGTGTGTGTGTGTGTGTGTGTAATAGACATCCTGGCCGCAAATCCTGTATGGTTGAAACTTTTACTTCACGACATACATTCCAGTTTCTGTTTTTATGTTTTGTTATGTTATTTAAGGAGGGAAGAGGGGAAGGGGGGGAGAGAGGGGGGGAGGGGGATAGATGAAGAAAGGATAAGGGGGGGATAGATAGAGATAGAGGGGATAGAGGAGATGGAGAGGGAGGAATAGAAGGGTGCAGAGGAGGGTAGGGGGGGGATGGAGGAGACAGGTGCTAGGAAAACACCCCGTGAAGACACTAGCTATGAGAGAACAGTAACACACACACACGAGAGGTAAGGAACACGACCAAGTAACAACAAGTATCACTCGACACTACGGGAACAGACACACTCGGTGAACCCCGGCCCACGACCTCCCCTGACATACATACATACATACATACATACATACATACATACATACATACATACATACATACATACATACAACGCACATTTAACATTAATACATACATACACACAAATATAAAAAAAATACAGTATATTACCCGTTTATTATGATATTTACGACAAACAATTCACCTGATATCCGTATGCTTAAAAAAATCGGCATTAATGTGGTATATTTAGTCAACAAATACTAACCATTATCCTCTCAGATTACCCTTGAAATTAGAGAAGGAAGGCGGGGGGAGGGTACCTGTAGCGGTTGGGGGAGGAGGGGGTGGTGTAGTACAGGTGAGGGGCGGACGGACGGACACACACACTTGAAGGATCCTATTTAATCAGAGTCCCCTGTCATGACCTCCACCTAGTCCATGACCTCCACCAAGTCATGACCTCCTGCATGACCTCCACCAGTCATGGCCTCCACCTAGTCATGACCTCCCACCGTGACCTCCACCTAGTCTTGACCTCCACCTGGCTTCCACCTAGTCATGACCTCCACCAGTCTTGGGGTCCACCCCTAGTCGAGACCTCCACTAGTCATGACCTCCACCAGTCATGACACCACACAATCACCCTCCACCACCAAGTCATGACCTCCACCAAGTCCTCCCTTGGTCATGACCTCAGCAAGTCATAACCTCCACCAAGTCATGACCTCCACCTAGTCATGCACTTCCACCTAGTCATGACCTCCCTCACCCTAGTCATGACCTCCAATAAGTCATAACTCCACTAAGTCACAACTGACCTCCACATAAATCATGACCTCCTGTCACACCTCCACATAGTCATGACTCCAGTCATGATTCTCCACCAAGTCATGACCTCCACCAAGTCATGACCTCCACCTAGTCATCACCCTCCACCTAGTCATCACCTCCACCAAGTCCTGTCCCCTCCACCAAGTCATGACCTCCACCAAGTCATCACCTCCCCCAAGTCGCCATCACCTCCACCAAGTCACACACTCCACCAAGTCCACCTAGTCATCACCTCCACCAATCCCCACCTCCACCAAGTCATCACTCACCTCACCTCCACCTAGTCATCCACCTCCACAAGCACCACTCACGTTTACTACTCCACCAAGTCATGACCTCAAGGTCTCCACCTAGTCATCACCTCCACCGTCATGACTCCATATAGTCATGACCTCCACTGTCATATCCCACCAAGTCATGACCTCCACATAGTCATGACCTCCACCATGACCTCCACCGTCATGACTCCACCACCGTCATGATTCCTCACCAGTCACTGGACTCACCACGACTCCACCAAGTCATGACCTCCACATAGTCACTGACTCCACCAAGTCATAACCTCCACCTCCAAGTCACATGATCTCCACCTAGTCATGACCTCCACCAGTCATGACCTCCACCAAGTCATGACCTCCACCAAGTCATGACCTCCACCAAGTCAGCGACTCCACCAAGTCATGACCTCCATATCAGTCATGACCTCCACCAAGTCATAACTCACCAAGTCATGACCTCCACATAGTCAAGACCTCCACCTAGTCATGACCTCCACCAAGTCAGTCCACCCAAGTCTTGACCTCCTCCCACCAAGTTATGACCTCCCACCATCCTGTAACCTCAGCACCTCCTACCAAGTCATCACCAAGTCCACCAGTCATGACCTCCACCAAGTCGCAACTTCCACCAAGTCATGACCTCCCACATAGTCATGACCTCCACCAAGTCTTGACCTCCCAGTCATGACTCCACTCAGTCATGACCTCCACTGTCATGACCTACTAGCCAAGTGACTCATGACCTCCACCAAGTCATGACCTCCACCAAGTCATGACCTCCACCAAGTCATGACCTCCACCAAGTCATGACCTCCACCAAGTCATGACCTCGCTGACCACCCAATACAACACAACAGTATCAAGTGGTACAGTATTCTTGTGTTGTGTCCAGAGGCAGTTGTTGAGTAAGGGACTTTCCTGATTTCATCTCTAGATTAACAGAGGGCGATACTTGAGAGCTGTGCGAGTCAGTGGATATAACAGGTGAAGCCAGAGGTGGTGTGGGGAGGGAGTGGGGGGGGAAGGAGGGGAAGATAGGGGAAGGAGGGGAGGTAGGAGACGGGAAGAGGAAGGTACGGAAGGGTAAGGAAGGGTAAGGGAGGGTAGGGGAGGGCTAGTTATGGGTATGTAGGTGGGAGGATGTACGTCACGTCTCACCATAACACACAGACCTATACACCCGCTCATCACTCCCTCGCCTAAACACTCATCAATCCTAAAACTTCTCCTCTCCTCGACCTACAGCACACAGCTCACTTAATGATGCTCTCCTCACGCTAACCTGCTTCACGCGTGTACACAATACCATCCTCACGCTGATGGTACAATAATAACAGTACACAATCACAAAAACATCAATGGCCATCATCTTGTACACGAGAGAACAAGTACAATCATGTAAGCATCAAGTGTACATCACATCAAGTGTACATCACATCAGGGTGTACATCACTTCAGGGTGTACATCACATCAGGGTGTACACAGGAACGAAGATGGGTGACAATCATTTCAATCACCGCTAAAAATAAACTTTCCCGACATCTACTACAGTGTAAAGTGTAAGTGTAAGTGTTCCGTGTTGTAGTGACGACACGTGGCCTGGGGGGTGGCGGTGGTGAGGGAGGGAGGGAGGGAGGAAACTTTAGACGAGCAGTGAGGACAACTTTACCTCAACCTCAGTCTGTCTCTCACTGATACCTCCTCCAGCATCACACACACACACACACACACACACACACACACACACACACACACACACACACACACACAAGGTTAGTACTTAGTAGCGTTGTACACACCTGTGCCACAACGACGTATGAATCAATTTCTTTTCCTCCGTCATTAACGTGTGGGTGGGTGTGGGTGTGGGGGTGTGGGTGTGGGTGTGTGGGTGTGGGTGTGGGTGTGTGTGTGTGTGTGTGTGTGTGTGTGCAGCAGGGATCACAAAGACAAGGTGTGTCAGCATATATCACACAGGTAAATCCCTCACATTAACATAACTTCCCGTGGCTACACAGGTAAGGCGTCGCCATAATCCTCACACACGTCTGTCTCACCCCGAGATACTGGCTGATAAGAGAGTAGAGATAGCGTGTGGTGTGACCTGCAGCCACCTCAGACACACACCGCCTCCCTCCAAGATTTGTGTGACCAAGATGGCGGGTACTAACATCTGGCCAATAGTGCTTCAACACCCTCCTCCACTCACTAGATGGGGCTGGGGAGGTGCTGGGGCAGGGTTAGGGGAGGTGCTGGGGAAGAGTTAGGGGAGGTGCTGGGATAGGGTTAGGGGAGGTGCTGGGGCAGGATTAGGGAGGTGCTGGGGCAGGTTAGGAGGTGCTGGGGCAGGATTAGGGGGTGCTGGGGCAGGATTAGAGTGTGCTGGGTAGTTAGGGAGGAAGCAGTGTGCTAGGGAGGTACTCAAAGGGGTTGGGAGGGGAAGAGTTAGGGGAGGTGCTGGGATAGGGT